GTTTAGGTTCATAAATGTTTTAAAATTTGTAATTTTATGCACAAAGTTTCTTTATTTGATCATATGTTTTCATTTTTAATTTTTTTTGTTTTGATTCCATCTGGTCTGAGTTTTTCTGCCTACACACATCTCTCTATCTGTGCAGAGTGTCCCCTGCCTCTCGCACAGTTTAAAATCCATATCTATGAATAATAATAATAATATGTAGGTCCTTCTAGCACAACAAAAAGGAAAAACAGTTTTACTCACATCACCTGTCTGTAGTCATAATGATGTGGCTGATAGATGTATGTGCCCGTAAGCTTTTTAAACGCTTTACCAGAATGAATTTAAATGGTTTGCTAAACAGAAATACCAGAAAAAATTGTCCATTGATGAAGAAACAATTATTTTAATGTATTTAAATTTCTTTAAAAGCAAATAACAAACATTTTAAATTACCTTTCTCTGTGTTCTAACATGCCTCATAGTTAAACAACATTTAACATTTAAAAGCAAGAAACACAGACAATTTGTACAACAAATCTGAAAAATAAAAATATCACATGTGAAGTTAGATGATGTCTGGTTTGATGATTAAATCTGCAAAGAGAGGAAAATGAAAAAAAATCATCAAATAAGGACAGAGTATATCAAAATACAAAAAAAAAAAAAAGAAAAAAAAAGAGAAGCTATTACCTGATGGTAAGTGAACCATATGAGGACCAAACGTGGATTTGGTTCACTTCCCATCAGTGTAATGTAACACACATAGACCACCTGCTGTTCAGGATGGTGGCTGAACAGACCGTCCCCGCCTGGTCAGGGTGGTCCGAGAGGGTCCTGTCGGCAGTCGGGAGCAAATCCGAGTTCTGCTAGTAGTGGACTTTTACCAAACATGAATAGTTCAGAACTAGCGGAATTCCAGACTTACCCTCGAAATATCTCAGCACCACATGGAAACAGCAGGTGAAACGGTAAAAACAGTCAAGTGTGACCTGCAACACTTAGAAGGTAGATTTCAGATTAAAACACTTTTCCATGGTGTACACACTTCTGTAAAGTTCTGTAAACACTAACAATAATACAGACACGTTTAAATATAACAACAGAAATTGGAGGGAAAACTTTACAGATCTCTTCAGTTCCGAGCCCATCAGCTTCTTGATCTGAAGTCCTCGTCAGACGTGGAGTTCTTAACAAATCTGTCAGCCTGCTACCTGTGCAAGAAGTGTGGATCCGATAAAGACAAAGAAAAAAAAAAGGAGTCAAAGGATTAAAATAAACCATTGAAGAAGATTTGATTAGCCTCAGCCCTCTCCCAAAGTGACCTGTCATTCCGGAGAGATTAAAGACTTATGGGGTGAGCTTGCCAAAAGTAATTACTCTTTGTTAAGCAGTTTTGCGGAGCAACCTGAGTTGTCCGTACAATCTGCTTTGGTGTCTCCGCTTGTGTTTCACTGGGTCAAAGTGAGGAGTAGGAGGTTCAGTGCTGCTCAACAAAGAACTGATACAAATCTTCAAGATCTTCAGCAAGATTCTCCAAATCAGTGTCACACTGGTACTTCACAGTTTAACTTAAATGTTGTCCACAGACAATGTCAGACAGACAATTAGGATTACAGGAACAGCCAGTTTAAATCTGATATAATCCAGTTTCTTCATGTTCTTCCTGACATTAGGCCAAACACTGTGCGTTGACTAATACGCTTTTTGGTCAGTGCTTCTGTGAGGTGAAATTATTAGACAGCAGGAAATAAAACCACTGTTATGCTGATATGAATCCATTTAACTAGATTATATGTTTTAGAGACATTAAAACCCAYGAGTCTTAATTTTATTTGAGGCTGTCCTAATTTAAAGACTCCTCGGATGCAGCCGACAAATACGTCCTCCTTTTYCCCTGATTTGAAGGACTGGTCCAATGCATCCTGCTCGGCCCACCATATCCCATCAAGCATTGTGGGCTGTTTTTTTTTTATCCTGCCCGTAATAGCAGACAAAGTGAAGGGGAGTGTGATTTTAAATAAAAATCTGGTGGTATRAAAATGAAAAGTTTCAAGTTGTGTTGTTAATGCTTTTATCGTTTGCATCAACATGTTTTTAAATATTATTTTTGTCAGAAATAAAATGAGCAAAATAAAGGTGCTCCTACAGTGAGTCCTTTATTTCATCAAATGTTGCCTTTAAGCTAATTTTGTTATTTTGTGATATTAATTATAATAATAATATATTTATATTTTTCTAATTTTGCTGAATTTGGACACAGCCCCAGTCTTCTGCTTTAATCCCGCTCTTACCCTGGTGTATCTCCTGTCGCCTAGTAAATGTGACAAYGCTGAACAGAAGCAAAAATAGATTGAAATTAGCAAAACATCAATTATTAATTAGCCTGGCCCTTGCCTTCCTACGCAGCTCTGCTCAATTCTAGTTTCACTTCTCTGCTCCTCTGTATGAAGCAAAGTGAAGGACAAGCGTCTGGTTTTTAACAGGCTAATTGTTAATATCTTAAAACAACAAAATTAGCTTAAAGGCAATATTTGAAGAACTAATTGGCGCGCCATAGGTGCATGGTTATTTTTCTATACCAGCTTGGTTTTTTTTTTCTGGCAAAAATAATATTTTAGAACACGTCTATACACATTACAAAACAACACAACCGCTTGAAACTTCATTTTTTATACTGCTAGTTTTTTTTTATTTAAAACATAGTCCTTTCYCTTGCTTTGTCCACCATATGAAAAAAGTCTGGTTGGCCCGCAATGCATTATGGGATATGGTGGGCTGGGAAGGATCCATCAGACCAGTTCTTCAATTTGGGCCAAAGGAAGGACACATTTGTCGGCCCATAGGTGGAAGTCTTTGGATTTGGACAGCCTCCGTTGCGGCGCTGTGACGTAAGTGGCCGACGAATTTGGCCTTCGGAGGACCCGGCCTCTGGATTTGGACACAGCTTAGATCGTCCAAATTCACGGTCTTCACAGTCGACCAACGACCCAGCCCACCTGGACCAGGTAGGCCGGGTCCTTTGGAGGACCCACCCTCTGGATTTGGACACAGCCGAAGTCTATAAAAATACTGTAGTCTGTTTAGTCTTTATGAGAAAGAGCTCTTACCCTGGATAAGAGCTCTTTGCACCAGGAAACCTAGTAAAAGTCCAAAATGATAGCATTTAGGTTTCCTGGTGCAAAGCTGTACAAGCTCTTATCCACCCTGAAGATTGATCTTGGACATTAGTTCTTTTTAAATGCAATCAGARCACATTGACAGAGAGGAGGATGTAGAAATGTYTCAGCCTGCAACTGAATATACAGAWTGAGAACCTCAGTTTAGCCTGATAGCTTTTGTATTAGTGCCGAGCTAATGTACRGGATTAGACAATGAAACAGAAACACCTGGTTTTAGACCATAACATCCCTTTCAGACAGCTTCCTCTTGCGTCCACAGTTAATCCTGTTGGATGTGGTTCGTCCTTCCTGGTGGTATGCTGACATTACCCTGGATACCGTGGCTCTTGATACACCACAAAGACTTGCTGTCTTGGTCACAGATGCTCCAGCAAGACGTGCACCAACAATTTGTCCTSTTTTGAACTCTGATATGTCACTATAATGTTGTGTGCATTGCAATATTTTGAGTAAAACTGTGCTCTTACCCTGCTAATTGAACCTTCACACTCTGCTCTTACTGGTGCAATGTGCAATTAATGAAGATTGGTCACCAGACTGGTCTAATTTAGCCATGAAACCTCCCACACTGAAATGACAGGTGCTTCAGTTTCATTGTCTAACCCCTGTATATATGTATGGCAATAGTTCCTGAGCTAACAGTATTAGCTCAGGCGATAATGGTATGCCTTATAAACACTGTATTAGTGAATCAGAAGAGMTGACAGCTCCTCTTTATTTTTCCTGGCCTTGGGACCAACCACATTTGAGGATATAGGACATGGGAGGGCAAACATAGTCCTTGCGGGTTATTATCCTGCACGTTTCACTTGTTTCTCTGCTCCAGACACTTGATTTGAATAAATTAATGTTTAATTGGCTTCTGTGGAACTTAAAAAGTTAAGTCAATTACTGAATCAGCTGTRTTGGCGCAGAGAAACAAGTAAAGCCCTGGAGGCCTTTCAGGACCAGGATTGCTCACCCCTGATATGAGGACATACCATTATGTAAAAACAGAGAGGAGGACAGGCATGACAATCACGTGGAGCATCTGTCCGTCCCCTCAAGGGTCCAGCATTTTGATCCATTAAATAAATGATAAAAGTTTGACCAAAGTAGGAAACAGAGTTAAGAATGCCTGCTATTGTAACGGAACAAATACACACAATTAGGCAAAAATAAGGCTATTCCACAAGGAAAAGATACGCAAAGAGCCAAACTTTACATCACTATTTTGTCTTTAGTGAAGATTAGTATTAAAAAAATAAAAGGGCTCCCAAAAAAACCCCATCTACCAATCAGGAGCCGCCTTCCATCAGTCAGGTCAAAGAGGTGGCTCTTGGATCTGGATAATCCAATACAAACACATTAGTATTAAAGTTATCAGGCTCCTCTCTTACGAGGCTGACACATGTCTACTTTTAAGAGTGGACTGAAAGCTTTCCTCTTTGATCAATCCTATAGCTAGGATTGGTTTCCTGAGTTATTCCTTAGTTCTGCTGCCATAGGCTTAGACTGCTGGAGGACAAAAGGACCTTTCCTCGCTCTTCTGCTATATCTCGCTCTACACTCAAGTTTTCTGCACACGATTATTGCTGTTGTTAACATTTTTTTCTGTTTTTCTTACCACAGAAACTACACCTGAACCGGTTCTTCTGTTTGTCTCTTGTCCTCTCACACCTTGATGCAGATGGCTGCTTCATCCTGAGCCTGGCTCTGGTTCTGTTGGAGGGTCCTTCCTGTTAAAAAGGAGTCATCCTTTTCCACTGTCTCCTCTCTGCTCAAACGGGGATTGCAACAAAATGAAGATTCGACACAGTTTGCTGGTATTCTTAGACATTGGGATTTTAAGATGAATGAGACCGAACTGTTATATTATATTTGTCTAGATCTGTTTTAAATTTGGACGTATGATTTGGACTTGTTATTTTTTGTTGTTGTAATACTTCGAGACAATTGGCACCATTTAAATAAACTGAATTGAAATTAGTTAAAATCTTCTAATCACTGATGGGTTTGATGTCCAGCTTTGGGACAGCTGACTTTAACTGTGAAGCCCTTTTCAGTATTCAACAAAAAAAAAAAATAGGTGTTACTGATCATTTAAACAGAATCATATCATGTGGAAAACAAGATCAAGTTGTAGTGAGAAACTTAAATAAACAATTAAAAGTTACAGCAGATTGACTTAGTTTAAGTGGCTAAGCAGGAAGGCATTCATTTAGGCTTTTTTCCGTAAGTGCAAAATTCAAGGCCTAACATTTCTTGAAAGTATACACATTTGCTGATTTTCTTGCCAGAGTTATAGACTAAGATCATCTTATGCTGAGAAATGATGGCACTTTAGCTGTTTTGGTTAAGTCTAATAAAGTACTTTTGTACTCATTTTTTATGCAATATTGTGAGATGAGAATGCAATTGAAATGGCTCAACGCTGAAACCACAAAGTGACCTAAGCTGCTGATCCCATTTTAAAAAATRAACTCTGCTGTCTAATGTTAAAGGACTCAAAGTTAAAATGTGAAAGGAGAAGCATGTACTTATCAAGGGTGGAGTTTTACAGACAACCTCTTTCCTAGAAACGATTCAGTGGGTCCAATGCAATTATAACTATTACGTAGGCTGCGGGCTCAAAGGTGGGTCAGAAACGCCGGTGTTCTGGGGTGAATCTTCTTTCCGGAGGGATTAAACGTGTCTTACTTGCCCTCACATGTCAGCAATTGCCACTGCCACAGTTAAGGTGCTCCGGATCTTCCCCCTTGTCCTCTAAATCTGATTTAAGACTCGTCTGTCCTCTCAAGCTAACCGCAGTCTACACGCAAGAGTCCAGGATTCAAACACCTTGAAATAATAAAATAAAGTCTTTGTTTCACGTTACAATTTTACACTCACACTTTGTTTCGAGTTTTTTTTAGTGCTGAAAAGAGTTCAAAAGGAAAAATAAAAACATTTACTGTGAAGCTGTGGTGTTGGATTATTGTACACTAATTCTACACAGGTTCTGTTTTAAGAGATACACATTAACGTTTTCTTTAAAACACTCAAAATGTGTATAAATGTGTAGGTATGGGATCTCAGAGCTAAT